AAAGGAATAAAATAATTACTGCCAAAAAAAGTTAAGCAAAAAGGAATAAATAATTACTGCCAAAAAAAGTTAAACAAAAAGGAATAAAATAATTACTGCCAAAAAAAGTTAAGCAAAAAGGAATAAATAAGGAAAAAGGGATAATTAGCTTGGCATTTTGGTAAGTACCCACCCTTACAAGGTCAGACTTTTAGCCCTGCTCGTCATTGCCGCGAGATTAGTTGCATGACAAAAAATCGCAAACTGAAAAAACTTTGATGTTGTTCCTTACCTTGAAGCCGTATTAAACAGGAATGTGTAGTATAGAAAGTAGATTCTTATCATGGCTGCTTCATCCAAAGCGTCATGATTTTGCGGTGTAAATTCCTTATTTTTTACACTCGCGAAAGACCAAAACAAACGGACTGACTTTGTAGGCGTTAAAAGCCAATCCTTTTACTAGCTTAGAAGGTTYTTGTTTACCTTGACAACAGTCTTCAAAAAGCACCAGAATTCATCTTAGTATAGTAATTTAGAGTTTTCGACTTCATGTCGACAAAATACGGTCTATTTTACGTCTGTTGTGTATATCTTGACAGCGGTCGTCAAAATCAATTCGAATGCTTAYATCTTTAAATAACTTGGTGTTATTTGACTACAAACTATAAAGTGAATACAGCTGAGTTGAAAAAACTCTTTTATTGTTTTATCTATCAGACCTGCTTTTGTTAGTTTGGTTTCAAGACTCATTAAAAGTGTTTACTTTGACCTAGATGTTGTTAGGCGTTTATTATTCGTCAATGAGAACTTTTTTTTTGCTATATAGTTCACCGCAGGGAACTAAAAAAACTTAACTTCCGAACGACTTCCGAACGACGGTTCTAGTCCGTCGTCTTAGACTCGTTTTTCCGAAACTACGCACCTGATTTATTATTCAAAACCACTTTGATCACTTAAAACAAAAGATCATTGTTCGATGTTTAACACCTCGAAATGGACACCGAACAATAGGGGATTCTTTGATACGGGTACTTACCAAAAATGCCAAGCTGCCTGAAAAAAAAAACAAAAAAAACAAAAACAAAAAAACAAGCCAATCTCGTACACCGAGCCTTCGTTTTTCTTGGCCAGCGCCGTCGACAAACATTAGACTCTGAAGTAGCGGAATTTTTATTACGGATTTCTGTCGTCAAGTTTCCATTGTGCATAACTCGTTATCCAAATGGCTTTCGATCGAATTCCCTCGAGAGAATTGCCTTAAAGAAAGTCAAAACAGGAACGTACAAGATCCCAAGTAATTGATCTACCTTCTACCAAGTAAATTTGGATAGTCAAGAGGTTGTGCTAGGTATTGGGAAAAGATTTTTTGAAAGTATTTCGACGTAACAAGTGATTCTGACAGAACCAAGAGCGATTTTGCGAGATTTTTTTTGATCGAGGTCAGCGGACTACTGCAACCTTAAGTAAATTTAAGGAACATACGGAGGTACGTTACAAAAAAAAAAAAAAAAAAAAAAAAACTCGCTAAATAGTCGCCCAAATGACTTGAAACTTCACACGTCGAAGGAAAATGACAATAAAAGAGACAAAATAGGATTTTTTTATTTTTAGGACTAAACGTCAGGCAGTCGATTTTTTCTTAAAAAATTGTCGGAACAACCGTAATTTCAACAAGGGAAATGCAATAAAGACCGAAATAATACTTTTCGACAAGTTTCAAACACAAGCACGGCATTTTGAGATTATTCGACTGCCTGACGTTTATTCCCAGGTAGACTCCCTGACGTTTAATGAGGGTCTCAATGGGGTTAACCGTGAGCCGTGAAACGGCTGAAAAATTAGCCGTGAGTCGTGAAAATGCGAAAAAATTAGCCGTGAGGCGTGAACATTTTTTTATAGCGTGAGCCGTGATTCAGTTTTGTCCCTCAGAAGGACAGTCAACTCCGATGTAAATTTAAAAAAAGAAAAGCTTTAGTGGAGATTTTTCAAAATTTTGCCTCGCAAGAATAGTTTTTTTCGGCCCCTCGGTCCGTTCAGGAATTGTTTTCCCTAAATCATTCACTCTTCCACCCCCACCCCCTCAAAATTCTACTGGATCGCACCTACCAACAACGCAGTAATTGCAAGGTCCTGCAGACAAGTCAGAGGGCACGGACAAAATTTGACATGTGAGAGTGATGATAAAAAGTTAAGTGTCTATAACGTACAAGGGGACACTGTGCTCCCACACTCACTATCTCTAGCACAAAACAAATTATGAAAARGTAATSAAAAASGTATTTYRAAAATTTCTGAAAGTTATCTAGTTAACCGTGATTCGAGGCGTGAGTCGTGAAATCGCCAAATTTTTAGTAGTAATGCGTACCACCCCGTTGAGACCCTCCTAAATGAGCGGAACAAATGTACAGACAAAATCTCCAAAACAAAAATAGCACTCATTTAGTATATTAGTACATCGAAGACTTTGAGTGGGAGCCGATCATATAGCCACTTCGTAAAAAAAAGTCGGTTCTCAGGAAAGTGCCAAACATAAGAGATCAGGACAATAATTCTGCAAAAAATAAATAAATAAATAAAAAAAGAAGATAAACAATAAATAAAATAGAAATGAAAATACACAATCAGTAAACGTCTCGTCCAGGGAATCGATCCCGCTACCGTCAAACTTAACATTGGATTTACAAGCAGCGCCTTAACGCGGTGCGCCACTGGACCACGCTCATTTACATAATAATAGACCACTTGGCACTTTCACCGAATAGACTACCCCAATTTGACATTATACTTTCGATAGTTGCCTAGTTAGTGCAAGGGGTTATCCATCAGTGTCTARGGGCCGGATAGCTTCTCCCTCACTGGCTTTTTAGTTAGCGCGAAGTTAGGACCAATTATCGGGATAGCATGGAAGAGCCGAAATCTCTAACCGGAATGTAAATCGATTCGCCGCCTCAGCTTCACAGAATGTCTCGGGGGAATCGTCCCAACCTTTTTTCGATTTTATGGTCATGGGTTCGAATCCCACCACTCAAGTTTTTTTCTTTTTTCATATTTCTTTTTTTTCTCTTTTTGTTGTTGTCTTTGATTAGCTTAATTCCTACATTAATGATTGTTTGCAATATCTCCAGAATCATTTAGTAATTATTTCTATATATTTCTATAATATGATATTTTAAAGCGCGCTTTCATTGGCTTTTTTTCATTAAACGTATAATTGGTTTTCACAGCGAGGCGATTGCGCAACCGAGAATCAAGTTTTAATCAAAAAAATATTTTCCACATACCAGTACTGATTTGATCTAAAACCTAAACCATTACCTTTGCTATGTCAATATTGCCTCATTCACAAAGTTTGAGTTAAAACCCAGCGCCCATTCCGATGTTAGAGGGGGAGG